GCAAGCTGGATTCAGAAGACATGGAATGAGGGATATCAATGATGATGTAAGCTGGATCTTGGCTCAAAGCAAAGAATACCTGAAAGGAGTTTATCTGTGTTTTATTAACTATGCAAAAGCATTCGATCATGTAGATCATAACAAATTATGGGTAACATTGAGAAGAATGGGAATTCCAGAACGCTTAATTGCACTCATGAGGAAACAGTACATAGACCAGATGGCTGTCTTTAGAACAGAACAAGAGGACACTGCATGGTTTAAAATCAAGAAGGGAGTTCATCAGGGTTGCATCCATTCACCATACTTACTCAATCTGTATGCTGAGCAAATAATCTGAGAAGCTGGACTATATCAAAAAGAACGCAGTATCAGGGTTGGAGGAAGAATCACTAACAACCTGTGATACGCTGACGACACAACTTTGGTTGCTGAGAGTGAGGATGATTTGAAACAATTACTGGTGACAATTGAAGAATACAGTCTGCAGTATGGATACACCTCAATGTAAAGAAAACAAAAATCCTCACAACTGGGCCAATAACCAACATTGGGAAAAATGGAGAAAAGATTGAAGTAGTCAAAGACTTCATATTACTTGGTTCTACAATCAATGCCAATGGAAGCAGCAGTCAAGATATCAGGAGACAAATAGCACTGAGAAACTTGGTTGCAAAAGACCTCTTTAAAATGGTGAAGAGAAAAGATGTCTCCTTGAGGACTAAGGTGCACCTAACACAAACCATTATATTTTCAATTGCTTCATATGAATGTGAGAACTGGACAGTAAATAAGGAAGACCAAAGAAGAGTTGATGCTTTTGAGTCGTAGTGCTGATGAAGAATGCTGAAAGTACCATGTACTGCTAAAAGAACAAATCTGTTCTGGATGAAGTGCAGCCAGACCGCTCCTTGGAACTGAGAATGGCCAGACTTTGTCTCACCTACTTTTGTCATGTTGTAAGAAGGGACCATTCCCTGGAGAAGGATGTCATGCTTGGTAAAGTGGAAGGTCAACGAAAGAGGGGAAGGCCCTCAACAAGGTGGATT